CGCTAATCATCCCGTATGAACCAAGTTCGTCCGGTACAAAATAGTTATTAGTTCATGAAATTTTTCAGGACGTAACAACTAACGTAAGTCGGTTCAGTTCATCCTGGGACGACTAGTTTTTGTCTGGACGAACAGAGCAAGCTTCAATACAGAGAAGTTCGTCCTAGGACGAACCTTATTTTTCGTCTGGACGAATGGAGCGAGCCTCAATACAGAGACGTTCGTCCTGGAAAGGACCTTATTTTTTGTCTGGACGAACAGGGGATGGTGAGAATACAGAGACGTTCGTCCTGGGACGAACCATTGATTTCGTCTGGACGAACAGTAGAAAGTGAGAATCCCGAGACATTCATCCTGGGACGACTATTAAAATTGTCCTTGACGATTAGGACTTAGAAAAATTTTCTCTCTGCCTGTTCGATCCATTGCTCTCCTTAGGGGAAATTGACATGATCGTCCCGTACGAACTAAGTTCGTCCTGTACGATCAGTTCACCAAAAAAGTTCCCCAAGTGTGTATATTGTGATTTTTCACTCAATTACAATCACTCCCTCTCATATCAAAACTTATGAAAATTTGTTGAATTTGATTACAAGTCTTCAATATCTTGGAGTTGATTTTCCTGAAATGTTAGTACACACTAGAGCAAGAAATAAATGTTTCAAATAGTGTTAGGAGATATATGTAAAACAATAATAATTGAAATCATCAAAATAATACAAGTTGCAAGAATGTAAAACATGCAAAATAGTAACTCTCTTAACAGCCCCACCATTCCATATTCATAACAAAGAGTCGAGACTTTCTCATACTCAATCTTTGAAAGAATCTCCTAGAGATACTATCAACCCATACTCCTAAAGGAAAACTCTGATCCAGCTTAACTCTCATGCAAACTCTATCGAATTCTCTTTTCCCCCACTGAAACATATTAATGTTTATCATCAAAGGTTTGCCAATTGATGAAGTAATACGAGCCACATTCACTTCATCCCAACATTGCAAGGGTAAGTGAGGCATTCTAATCCAAATTGGTGAGGTTAAACCTTTCAAAGAAAGAGTGGAAAATTCCACATACCACTTCTCCATCCCCACAATGTAGCCATTGACAAACCAAGGCCCTCCTGACAGAACACCTTCCATCATCTCAGTCGACTCAAAGGAACACAAAAACCATCTCTTCCACAGAGCTGTAAAATGGAAATTTCCAAAAATTTTCCACTGTCTCCTTTTTTCCCAAGCAACTACATGAGGGGGGACCTCCTTTCCAAAAACTTTAATCACCAAAGAATTCCTGAGCTTATGAGAATTTGAAAACTCCATTTCTTCTATCAATTTCATAGCCTTACCGTCTTCCGAGAAGACCATATCATCCTCCTTGAAATCCAACATGATGTAAGGCTTTCTCTTCCACGGATTTTCATCTGCCCCATTCCAATTCCTATCGTCACCGAAGATGTCCGGCGGCCGTCCATAGCCTCCTGAGAATCCAATTCTGTGAAGAACGAAATACAAACCCGAGAAAAAAAATTTGAAAAAGATGACTTCTCTCTCTATGAGCTCAAATCTGGAGCTTCTCTCTCAAGGTGATTACCCCTTTGAATACTTTGATTTTGGCATAAAGAACATCCTACCTAAGATGACATCACATAATGGGGATGAGATTACTCTTACAAAGAGTCACAACCAACTTCCCCATCAATAAACTAGATCATGATGTGATCATGCGACTTTAACTATCCTCCCACTGTGGGAAAATAAAATTTTGAGTTTAAAGTCCATGTAGATTTTAGGTATTTCTATTTTTGTAGTCAAATATGACATTGAGAATAAAATACTATATTGAAAGATAAAAAAATTATTCTAAATTGGATTCAAATACAAAAATGGGATTTTAGAAATTATTCTCTTTAATTCTCAAATATAAATAGAAGAATAATATAATGTCAAGAAAGGTAGAAATCTCATTCTAGAATAGTATTTAAAGATAAAAGTAGGGTTTAAAAATTATGCATTTATAAACTAAAATCATGATAATATCATAACACCTCAAAAGGTGTAAATGATATTTTGTGAAGTAATTTGAATACAAAAATGGTTTTTATGAAATTGTCTACATTCCTAAAGATTTTCCCCTATCTTCTAAGAATAAGATAGTGTTTATTTTAATATGGGGTTACATGTTGCCTAAAATGGAAAGTCCCCATGTTTAATCACATCTTAGGAAAATTAAATCTCCTAAGAATTCTCTCAATTAAAGTAATGGTAAAGATTTTCTTTAGATTTGAGTAATTAAGATAAGGATGAGAGGTGAAAAA